TAACATTTTGGCATAAGCCTTTCTAAACCTGAATTGTAAACTCTTCTTTTTAATGGTGACATAATATTCCATCAAATTTATATAACATAATATTTTCAAAGATGTCTCTATTGCTGAATATTTAGGCTGTTTCTAGATTTTTCCTATTGTAGTAATTCTTTATATATACACCTTTTTTTCCCCTGTAATTAGGATTACCGCCCTACAATAGAAACTCAGAATTACTAAATCAAGGCGTATAAAAACGTATTTTTTGAGAAGCCAGCACCACACTTTTATTTATTTTAATCACAAAGAAACAAGCTCATTAATTCATCTAGTCAACATTCAAGACATTTATTGCATGCCTTCTATGTCCTTGGTATGGTGCCTATAATACTGTGATGAATATTTGACAGTCACTTATCTAAAGGATGTGGCGGCTTAGAGGGTGTTAGAATAGAATGTGCCTGAAATGAGCATCTTGTATGAATTATATATGGAGAGAATGCTTCCTAGGTTATCTGGGACAAGGAAGGAATACTTTTAGAGCTCTTAGGGGCTGTAAGAAAGTGGCATTCAAAGCAATTTCAAAATGGCATCAAGGATGAACATTTTTTATTCTTTGCTGGTTTGTTAGATGAAATATTGTCGATCATTGTTTTAATGGTTATTTTCTTGAGTACTAATGAGAATGAACATTTTTCCATATGTTCATCAATGAGTTGTTTCTTCATTGTGAAATATCCTTTGATATTTTGGTGTTTATTATTTATATAAAATAGATTTTGGTTTATTTGCAATTATTTGCAGTTGTTGCAAATAATTTCACATCTGCTTTGCTTTTTAATTTTCTTTTAACTTAGAGAAGTTTGTTTTTTTTTTTTAACCTAGTCTTATCTACCAGGCATTTTCTAATTTCTTTTAGCACTTATGTTTCAGGAGTAGACTTGCCCTCTCCAGAGAGGCATATAAATAATCAATTCCATTTTTATTTGTCTTTAATGTTGCATTTCATTTGTATTTAATTCCATAATACATCTGCAGTTTATATCTATATCTAATGAGATATATTTGATTTTATTCCAAAAAGATGGACGATTATCTCAACATTATTTATTAAAGAGTTTCTCATGAATTGGTGATACTCGTTTTATCATACACTGAATTGAGACTCCCTTTCTATATGCATTCATAAAGTCCAATGCCCATTTGTATTAATTTCTGTCATGATAAAAATAGCTATTTTTTTTCCCCATCAAACTTTCTGAGGGTAGGAATTATGTTTTCTCTTTAATAACTAGCATAGTTCTTGGCATTAAGTGTATGCTGAATTAATGCATAAAATAGAATGTCTCGGAATACCTATATTTTCCCACTAATCTGTATGTCAGTTTCTAAGCTAGTTCTGCACTGTGTTAAATGTTGTGTCACAATGATGTATTTTATCATTAGAACAAAACCTGTCATTAATATTTATATTTAGAATTTTCTTTATGATCCATGACTCTTTCTTCAAATGAACTTCAGAAAGTTCTAACAGAAAGCTTTAATTATTCCTACTAGAATTTTGACTGGAATTATGCTAAAAACATAAAATTAATTTGGGAAGAAGTGATATTTATGTAGTAAATAATTTCCTACTCATGCATGTGTTATAGTTCCTTATTTCTTTTATAGCTTTTTAAAATTGTCTTTACAGAGTTATTCATAAGTAGTTTTAGGATTTTATTGTTACTGCTATAGTGAGTCAGGATTATTGATGCTATTGGGAGTTGCATTTATTTATTTTAAAATTTTTACTTTCTGTTTATTGCTATTGTACAGAGCAATTATCATTACAAATTTATATTGAATCCTGAGACTTTTTTTGAATCATTTTATTAATTCTAATAGAAATTTTTTAGTAGTTTTTTTAGTTGATGTGAAAATTGTCAACAATTGGGAATGACCTCATTATCAGCTAAATTCTATTTTATTTTTACAATAAAAGATGGGAATTGAAGAACAAAAGTGAGATTTTAAAAACCTGCTTTTTGAGATACAGTTAAATTTTCACATCTATTTTAGACACAGTTATTAATAATATAATATAATGTAATATAATATAATATAATATAACATATAATAGGTAATTGTATGTGTATCATCTGTGAAGGAGTTATCATCTGTGAAGCAGAAGCAGGATCTTCTAGGAGACAAATATATGAGTCTTTCGTAACTGAGGAGGACCTCTGTAATACAGTTTCCTGACCTACCTGTCATGCTCTCTCCCTAATCTTTCCTAATCTCCACCCTACTTAGCTCCTGCCTTTGGCATAGTATCCCACAACCTCCCACTGATGGGGACACTTGATCTAGAATCACCAGGCTGTCTGGGATCAACAAGGCATCTCAGACCCAGCTGTCACTCATGGGGCAACATGGAAAGGGCAAACAGCCAGCTCTGAATTTAGCTGTATCCCTATCACACCAAGACTCTGGGGTAGGAGGAGAGACAGAATGTGAGTCATGAGAGCCCCATTTAGGGCCACAAAGGAGTGGATATGGGAACCAGAGAAGCATAGGTGGAGCCCAATAGAGGCTATTCCATTTTTTTAATCTTCCATGTTTTATTCCTAATCAGTAATGCTCAATTTAGCATCCAAAAGTTGTTTGAAATGAAATTTTCTCTTTTCTTTTTTAAGAAAACTTTTATGTCCTAATCAAGGCCAGTATTCTATTTGACCATTTATTGTGAAGGTCATGAGAAGTATTAAATAAGGCGTTTGTTTGCATTGACTGGGTGGGATATTTAAGGTGCCTAACACTTTGGTGGGTTTGGGGCAGCATTGGTTCTTGCTGCATAATGGGAGCTGACAAGTAATGACAACATAATGGGGACAAAACAAGGATGAAAGACTCAGGCTCACATAACACAACTGATCCTTCTGCATCCTAAACTTTTATTCTTTGGGCTTGCACAGTTACCCGGTTTACAATCTATGCATTTCATCATCACTGTGTAAGGTGTTGCCCTTCCTCCGCGTGCTTTCCTTGTATTTTTCAAAGCTATTTTACCAGCTTGTTGGGGCACTGTGGACCTCAGGAGACTACATGGACCTCTGTCCTTCTACACAGCAAGGCAGACGCATTACCTTTGCAGAAGTAATGACATTTCGAAATACCAAGAGATGTGCAATCTGTTGGGGTGATAAGAAGACACTGTAATTCACTATTGAATGTGTGTGTACAACAGGGCACAATGCTTAGGGTGGGTTGCAAAAAGATAAGAGAATGAATTATGGTTTTGTTTAAGTGTTAAAATAAAGTCTAATGAATAAAGCCTACCTCAGACACCTAATGACAATGATTAATTAGACCAAAGTGTTTTTTGCAAAGTCCACCTGAAAGAAAAGCTTACGATAGCAAACTTAGGGCTTTTCTATGTAGCTAGTGTATTATTTTTATATGTTGTGTTTAGAAATCAGTAGATGGTTTACATTTTCTTTAGTAGCTATTGAGTGATTAGCTTCATGTTTTCTCCTATTATGAAGCTATTTTTTTTTCTATCATGTATTTTAAAAGCAACTCTGGATCTATCAGACCAAAAAAATAGAGATCTTAAGATAAATTATGATTAGGTATTTTGTTTTCCCCAAATTAAATAAGACCTGGTATGAGTTCAAGCTGACACTTTGTGGTTTTCATCCTCCTATTTCATCTAGAATGGGAATAAATCTACAAGCATGTGAGTGACAAAATCTTATGTCACATCTACGTTACTGACATGACTGGAAGACAGTTTGTTCTGAATACAGTACAGAGGTTAAAGAAAACTTTAACTCAATAAAAGTTATTGCTCTCTTTTTGACAGATAAAATGAACTCTTGATAATTGATAGTAAATTTACAATTTGAAAATCATCATTCCTGATAATAAAGTAGAAAAAAGAACCAAGTGACATTTTTGATGCACTTACTGAATGACACATAGTAACAAATATTTTGATAAACCACAGGGCATAGTGGTAAAATGTCCAAACTCTGGATCCAGATCATTGGGCTCAAAGTGAAATGCTGCCCCGGAAACTAGCTGTGGGATACTGACTGTCACCTAACCTTTCTTTGCCAATTCCTCTATCTATAAAATGTGGGTCATAATAGTACGTACCACACGGGGTACCTACCCCAAGACCATCCTTAGGCTCAATGATTTGCTGGAATCAGGAAAACAGACTCACAGTCATGGATTCTTCCACTGAAAGGCTACGGATTAAAATCAGCAAAGAGAAAGGCACCTGAGGCAAAGTCCAGCTGCCAACTTCCAGGTGTCCCTCCCGGTGGAGTGTGGGGGCACACTTACTTCTCTTGGCAACCATGTGAGACAACATGTGTGAAGGGCGGGCAGCCAGGGAAGCTCCGCAGAGCTCTGGTTTCCGGAGTTTTATTCAGAGTCAGTCACAGAAGCACGCAGCACCAGATGACGGACCTCAGCTATTCAGACTTCAGCCTTCCCTGCCCGCAACAAAAACAGATGTCCGCCATAAATGTATCTGGTCAAACTGGAAGAGCAGAGGCCTCGAGCATTCAAAACACTCTCTTATCAGGCAGACTATTCCAAGAGCTCGAGGTTATCTTCCAGAAGCTGGCCTAGGGCCAATTCTAAAAGTAGGCCTTTCTTTGGAATGTGAAGCTTTTGAGTCTTTCAGGCCTGCTGGGTTAACCCTTGCCTACCCAGTGGTTGTGAGGAGTAAATATGTTAATCCCTGCAGGTTAGAAGAGTGCCTGGCTCAGGTAAGCAAATAAATAAGGGCCAGCTGCAGTTCCTTCTAGTGGCCTCTGTGAGCTGAACAAAGCAGCTCGATTTGGAATACCAACCAGAAACGGCTATATTCCGTGGATCTTGTGATCATGTAAGTCCTCAAGTTTGGAGTAAAGGGCATTACGAGCAAATGAAGTATTTTCGCCTGGAGTGTTTTCAGAAGAGGAGTTCCCAGTGAAAACACCAAATCCTAACATTTTGTCTTTCATTCTTTACAGAGCTCTGAAGTCTGCAAGGCAGTAATCAAAGACCTGAGCTGTTTGAGGAAGACAACAAAAAAGCAGGTACAAGGCTGATTCTCAGAAAATAACCCTCACTGTTCGTTTAGACTGATGATTACTTCAAACTTACAGCCTCTATTGTTAGAAAAAAATTTTACAAAAATTCCACTTCGGTGTCTTAGAATGTATGTGACTGCATGGCTGACCGTATCTTAAAGAGGAACTGTTTTTTAAGTGCACATTAAATTAATTTTGAGAGCTTCAATTAGGCCAGGTCTAGGCAGAAATGTGGAGTAATGAACAAATAATTATTACTCATTATTAAATCAACACATATTCATGAAAAGCCTGATATATGGCAAACACTAATCTTTGAGGTACTGAGTGATTTTAGAGACTTGAACAAAACAGACATGATTCATTCCTGCCCTCATGATGCTTGCAGTCCAGTGGAAGTGACATGAAACAGATAGACAAGGATCAATATAAGAATAAAAACTGTGATACATGCTACTGCAGAGTTCTGTGGGAGAAAATGTTGGGAGATAAGGGAGGGATCTACTGGAGACGAGACAAACAGGGGGTGCGTCTTTAGAAGGTGGTGTTTAAACTAAGAGCTGAAGTGTAAGGAAAAAAGTCCCAGGTAGATGGAACAGCAATGAATAAAGAAAATAACTGAAGAAAAGGATATAGTGGCAAAGTCACAGAGGTGGAGAGAAGTATAAGATGAAACTGGGTTGACAATGGGATGAACGTGAATGTGGCAACCGGCTCAGTCCCACAGGGCTTTTGTTGCTCCAGTAAGGTGTCTTTAGAGCATCTCTGCGTGGCCACCTCCTCCCCTAGACATTTCTGTGCTCTGTCATTTGATTTTCTCTCCTGGCCCCCTGAATATAGAAACTTTCAGATCTACCAAACCCACCCCACCCCCTACATCTCCTGCCAAAGTGTAAAGGGCTTATGACAGTGCAAAGAGGTTCTCAGTGTGTCTGCATACTAGTTCCATGATATGTTCTGTATAAAATGGTTTGGGGTCAAGGAAGTTTGAAAATTTCTCAATACTATACCACTCTCAGGAGCTTTGAAGACACATTAACATTCTGTAATAAATATACATGTATGTATACACATATGTGTATATGTTTGTGTGAGTGTGCACCTTTATTTAACTTGATATTGGTTAACCAATACTTCCAGGTTTACATTAGGAAATGTTTCAAAACTTTCTTGGAAAGAAAATGTATTTTGTGGGGTTCCTCATACTCCTGAGGCTGACCTGCTTTTAGGTAACTTGACCTATTTTATGGCTATGCACATTTAATTATGTTAGATAATTTTCTAGAATCTAGATAATTCAAGCCAGAGAAAAAAGACATGTTTACTTTGGTGGTTTAGCTTTTTCAGGCAGAAGATTTTTCTCGACCTGAATTATGTGGTTAATTGCTTCAAATCCTGATTATACTTTACATGTGAAAACAGAGCCTTAAGTACCACTGAGGAGCACTGGAGTAAGAGCTCACTAAGTAATTTTCAATCTTACTGTTAGTAATACTTGTTCTCTTAAATCAAACAAAGGAAAACCAACTACAAAAAAAAATGTTGTCTGCATCTTAGCTGCTCTGAATCTCATTCCTTTCCACTGAGAATACTTACTCTCCTTGGTTTGTAAAATTCTCATAATTTAGAAAGGTGGAAAGTGAGGAACATGACTGGGGGTAGTGCCTACTTTAGCACCCAGAGAAATGATTTGATTTTATATAAAATGTGGAAATCTTATATCTGCAGCAATACAGGTTTCAAGGATTCAGAGTTAAACTAAGATTATCCCAGAAGAGAGGTTCTCAGCATCTGTGTTGGAAAAGGAAATTGACCTTTTTAGATCAATTCAGTTATCTTTCAATTCAGTTAACTATTATTAAAATATATGGAAAGAAATTATGAACAATTCCCTAGGATTTCATAACTTAGAAACAAAAAAACTTGTTTCATCCTTGGAAAGATAAAACATAGCTGTCCCTTAATTACTACTCCTGCCATTTGCTTTCTGCTAGAGATGTGTCTCAAATTTGGAATCTATTTAGAAATCTTAATTGAAAATGGTTTTAAAGAAAGGGAGAGAAAATTAAAAGAGCAATACAAAAACATAAAAGTAGGGAGAAAAATAGAAATGGAAATATTACAGCCAGATGGAATGCTCACCTATTTTAAAATGCATTGGAGTATAAGGAACATGTTATCTGGCATAAAATTGAACTCTGTTGTTTCCTTTTTCAGGAAGAATTTTCTCAACCAAATAACAAGTCTTTTTAATCTCTATAAATTGGAATTTTCAAGGACTATATTTTGCTCAGTGTAAAAATAGTGATTTTAAAGTTCGGAGACCGGATTGTCCCTTGTCTGACCCTAGGCAAATTCTCAATCTCAGTTTACCCATCTCTAAAATGAAATTTTTAAAATCCCATTTTGAAATGTGGTTTCTTTCTTGTCTCTTGACTTATACACTGACTAGATTATTAAGTTCTAGAAAGAAAAGAAAGATGAAAGTAAAAAAGAAAGAAAGCTAAATTTGAGAATGCATATCATAGTATTTAGTACAGAATATGGCCAATACCAGACATTCAAATAGTGCTTATTGCTTCTGTGCTTTGGAGGTGGACTTCAAGGCAGATTCACTAATCCTTTTACTCTGGTTTTTTTTTTTTTCTTGTAGGTATTTTAGATTCTGCTGTCCAGATTGTAAATCCCACGTAAAGGCATAGTGACATATTATTTCTGAATTACTCAACAGTACTTTGCATGCTGTTAGGCAAGGTAGTTGCTCAATTAAGATTTGTTCAATTGAGTGAAGCTGTAAACTAATGCGGGGCCAGGAAGCAGATAATCCAGATTGCCCCAGCCCCTGGTTTACGAAAACACCACATCTAACATCAGAAGCAGGAGTGGTTATGCCCCGCTGTGAATGATTTCATTCAGTGATAGGGCACCCACTTCCTGCTGCTTCTCCATGCACTCTGCTCCCATCAGATTAGTTAATTTCCTGTTATTTATGCATATTCTACATTTGTGGCTTTAGGTCTTCGCTTGCACTGCAGTCATTTTCAGTATTTTCTTCCTTGTTTTCTTTCATTCTTCCTCCCTTCTTCCCCCTTTTTTCTCATCCCCCTTCCTTTTATCTATACCTGACTTTTTATAGTTTTTTTTTATTTCTACTCTTTTCGTGGGGAGTAATATGGCTTATTTATCTATTTATATATTTTTTGGAGGTACTGGGGATTGCTAAGCATGCACTTTTACTGCTGAGCTATACCCTCCCCCAACACCTACCTTTTTGATGCACAGATCTCTTAAAGTCTGACCAAATATCGTCTCCATGAAGCAGTCACAGGTATCTCCTGAGATAATTATCTTACCCACTTTGATTTTTGTTTGGTTTTGTGTTCAAGCACTATTTCTTGTTCCCCATCTATAGAGAGCGACCCTGACACAGAGCCAGTGAGAGCCCAGCCATGTAGTATGTTAATGGTTCTTTCCTTCCATGCTCCACTCCATTTTGTTACCTTTTACCAAAAACCTCACCAAGGGAGTGGACCTCTGGCAGTGTTTGCTGCTTGCTTGCACCCCGGTTCCTGGGTGACTGGCAGTTGGGGTACAGGCCGTGAGCACTGGGCTGCAGTCACATCAGCTGTCTGAGTCCGGTTGGCTTTGTGAATGTGTCCTTAGTTTTGGCTGCTGTGTCCCTTGGAACCAGGAGCCTGGCTCTGCACCCAGCGGTCTAGGTGCCCTGATTCCCAGGGTACCTGACTGCATATCTTTCCCTGTGGCCTTACCTTCTTTTGGGTATCCCTTCCAGATGTATGACTTGGATACACATGTGATGCTGAGAATGGCCCCTCCACAGGAGCCCTTTCTACTGCTTCCCTGTCCCTCACCCCAAACTTAAGGGCGCCCCCGTGTATTGAGGCCCATTCAGATCAAACTTAAGTTTATCAGTTAAGTCTTGATCATTTGGACTCTTGCCTCCTATAAATCAACATTTGTTTCACAGTTTATTCTTCTTGTTCCTTTATGGAATGGATTTCTTTCTGCTTCCTTTTGTGTCTCTTCAGGCCTCTTGATTGAACGGCTATCAGCAAAGCATTCCCACTGTCCCTCTCTTAGGCCATCTTCCCCTTGTCTACCCATGCTAATGATAGTAAATATTATTAAAATTAATCATGCTAGTAATATTTTTTGACCACTAGCTGTATTTTCTAATATCTTTCTTGTTTTGTGTTCACTGTTTTAAAATCTACACACAGTAAAATTCATACTTTTTGGTGTTCAGTTTTAGAAGTTTTGATAAATGTTAGCATTCATGTATACTCACTACCATAATCATGATACAGAACACTTAGTCAACCCCCAATTTTCTGTCTTTTACCTCTTTATGATCAACCTCTCCCGCCTCTACCCACTAGAAACCACTGATCTGTTTTCTGTTTCGATAATTTGCCTTTTCCAGAATGCCATGTACATTGAATCATGTAGTATGCAGCACTTTGAATCCAGCTCCTTTCACTTACAGTAATGTGCTTGAGTCATTAATTTTGGGGGGTATCAGTGCCTTTTTCCTTTTTATTGTTGAGTAATATTCCCTTTTTTGAATTTGCTTTGGTGTGATTATCCATTCATCTTTGAATGAACTTGGAGTGACTTTGAATTTTTAGTTTAAAAAAAAGCAGGTTTTTGTGTGATCATAAGTTTTATTTCTCTTGAGTATCTATCCAGGAGTGAGATTGCTGGCTCCTATGGTAGGTTATGCTTGACTATGTAAGAATCTGTCAGACTTTTTTCCAAAGTGACTGTACTGTTTTGTCTTTCTACCAGCAATGTACAAGAATTCCAGTTGGTCCACATCCTTGTCAGAGATTTTGATGATTTTTAAAATATTTAATTATAACCATTCTAATAAATACATAGTAGTAGCTCATTACAGTTTTAATTTGTATTTTCTTAATGATCTAGATCAATTTAAAAAAACTGACATCTTAACAATAATGACTCTTTTAATCCATTGACATTTT